GCACATATAGCCAGAGAAAAATGCATTCTCAACAAAATCAGAGCTCCACTGGAGAGTTTGCCAATTACCAATTGAACTGAAAGCCAATTTCCCCCTCCCTCCCCAATGTTTTCAAGGACTAGTCCATGTTCTTTGCTGGTTAACAGTAAGAATACCAATCTCTTGACTAGGGACCAGTGGATTATGACATTCCACCTAAATTGCAAGTAATTTATTTTTATTTTCTTGAAACAAAAGTTCCAGTTTCTTTCAATAAAGGGCACTGTGACTATTTTCTTCTCCTGACACCCCTTCCCCACAATTATCGGTTAAAATACAGCAAGACTGTATCTTAATAAACCCATCCCTCCCCCCACCCCTCCTTACCCTTCCCACCTTGTCTACAGCAGAATTTAAGAATGCTTCATGTAGGGACATTTTAACAACACAACAGACAACTGAGCAAAACCTACACAATAACCTGCCAAAGCCTCATTTTGAAGATCAGATGTACGCTCTTTGGTCCAGAGACCCAGTTTATTATGAAAAGAAACTGTGACTCACAAAAGATGGACCAGAAGTTCACAGCAATCTGAAAACTCCATGCACAGACTACTGGTGTCCAACTTTTACCACAGTGGCTGTACTGCTAGAGTTCCTGAGAACAAAAATTCCTTTCATCCTCAAAAAGCAACAGCTGCTCAGCTCCAGCAGCCGTACAAACTCCAGCACGACTACAAGAACCACCACAATGGCAGCTTGGGAGATGCAGCGTGGCATCTCCATAACCTGCAGAACGTAAACCTAAACAGTACAGCAGTCTGCTCAGGTCTGTGCCCTATAACTCATTAAAAAAAAAAAAAAAAACACACACAAAGAAAGAAGAAAAAAAAAGTGTGTGAAGCATTTTTAAATCCTTGGAGCAGACACCCTCCCCCATCCCAACTAAAAATAAAGAAAAAAAAAAAAAGATCAGAATGAGATGATTTGATACCAACACATACACAACATGAATTCATGTTGAGCTTCCCTGTTCTTACCCACAAAAAAAGTCACAGAGGGCAAAGGAAAGATGCTCCCATCTCATTCTGGAAACTGAAACAGGTACTTGAGACCAACCCACCCCCCTCCCTTTGGGAAAAGCCCTCCTGCAACCACAGTGCACTCCTGATGGCATACACCCAGAGAAGTTCAGGTCACCCCCTTCACAGCCACTTTACCCATCTGCGAAGCTCCATTTCATCAGATTCAGAGAGCGACACTTTTAGACTTCTGAGCAGAAAAGTGCAAAACACATTCTCCTTCACATTACCTTTGTCAGAGAAAGTATTTGACCTAGGGCTCATCACTGAAAACTCCAACTCATGCAGAATGTAAAGGCTGGTATGTGACCAGCAAAAACATGAGCTCCAGAAGCCAAGATTTATACATACTCCTGGGTAGGGGTAAATAGAACAACTCAAAAAAACAAACAAACATACACACCCACACCCCCAACCAACCAACCACAAAAAAAAACACACCCAAAAAAAAAAAAAAAAACAAAACCACACACAACTAGGATTATCCTAGTCCTTTGGAGCATCTTTCCATTTGCAAGATTGTGTCTGTTAGATAGCCTACTAGCACCAAAAATAGGCTGCTTTCCTCTTGACAAGAAGCCACCTAAAGATGGTGCCCCCGATAGTTTAGGTAAGTGCCAATCCTCAATCAGAGGCCAAGTTAAAATTAACACTTTCAAAAGCTCTACACTTCAAGAGGGACCATCAATGCATGGCACCAGGCTAACCTACCACAAATCCAAGCAGAGCACACACCCAACTGGAGATCGCTATCCTGTTCTTGTTACATGTGTGCCCTGGTAAGATACAAAACTTGTATTTACATTTGTCATGCCTTTGTCTCACTAAAATGATCCCTCTTCAGTCTCTCTGGAAAATCATAAGCTGGCTGCAGTACAAGAGCAAGATTTCACTTTTGGTCAAAGTTACCACCCACGAACTCCCACCCCCCACCCCCAAAAAGCACCCCCAAAATTGTTTACATTTAGTACCTGCCAGTCAGATATAAGCTGTGTGGCTCACAGAGAATCTGTGACCAAGCTCTCGAGTTTGTACTCTAGTGCAGCATTTGCTACAATTACAGAGTCACTGCTGACAAAAGGAAAAAAAAAAAAAGGAAAAAAAAAAAAACCCAAAAAACAACAAAACACAACAAACCCAACAAAGTCCCAAACACAAAAAACCTTTCTATCTTGTAAAGTTGTTGTGAGGAGGCACCTGGCTTCCATTTATGATCCTCAAGGAAACGGATGGGTAAGTCCGCCTTGTGGTTCCAAACAATTTCACTCAAATTTAAAAAAGAAAAAGGGTCAAAATGGGGAGTAATTAAGACAATTAATTCCCGCCTCAAAGGTAAGCAAGCGCGGAGTGAGTGCAGCATCTGTATACACAATAGAACGACTGAGCAAAAGGGACTGCATTCATCCAGGTGCCTCCTGACAGTGTTGGTGAACAGGCTAAAAGGGAATTTAAAAAGAGTACGGTTTATGATTTTTCTCACTCCTTTTGCCTGTAGATCAGGCCAAACCTCAAGCATGTTGGGAGGGGCACAATTTAAAGCAACACTACTCGACCAAAAAAGCACTTTTCAGCAATATACAATGCAAAATGACAGACAGCAATTTATGCCAAAACAGAGGAGATGGCAGGCAGCTTGCTGCAGCTTCTGACATCACCAGCAGTTTGCCCTCACCTGGCTCACAAGTCTGTAGAGAGGCCGCTCTGGGTGGAAAACACGCAATGCTGCAAGAAGTTAATCGATCCCACAAAGCTCCAGGACTGTCAGCTTGTGCACAGGAATTGGTTTTCTACAGTTGTTCTTAAACCCAAATCCATGCCTTATGTATACACTGCTCAGCAACACTGACACCACTGGATTTCCCTCACACCATGGTGGAACACAGGCCACAATCCCCTCCAGAGCTTGTTAAGCTTCTGAAGTTTCACAGGGGGAAACCAAAGAGCATCTCCCACCAGGCTAAGCTACAGACTTGGAGGCCTCACAGCCCCACAAGCAATCCCTTCCACAGGAGCGGTACAAGACGGTGTTGCCAGCACCAGAGCAAAGCCAACCTGACAAGTGTAGCTTGTAATGGCCTGCTCTTCACAGAGGTCAGAGCACTTCTCATTGTTTAGTGTTGCAGAAAACTGAGCCCCTCTCATCTTTAGCTGCTCCCATAATCAGTCTAATCCCTTTAACCCCAGCAACCTTCATCACAAAAGAAAAAGTTATATATGAACCCAAACAGAAAAAAAAACATATTTACAAAGTTTGTACAATATACACATCTGATTTTCTATGGGACACACCGCACCAGAGGAAAGAGGGCCATGGCTCTGAAACAAGTCTACATATCAAGTGCTGTAACTACTAATGGAGACTCTTATGGAAACCAGTCTTTAGTGTTCTGCTAGAGCATAGGGCTTTTCTTATGGCTCCTGCAAAGGATGACAGGCTACTCTTTCCTTCTGGAGCTACGATGCTGCACCTAATCAGCCCAAATTTTAAGTTGGTTTCGTATTAAATACATGTATTTACAGTGTGGGTGAACGGCAGATGCATATCAACTCCTCCAATTAAAAAAAAAAAATAATTTTTTTTTTTTTTTTTTAAGAAAAAAAGTAGTATTACCAATACATTTCACCTCCCAGCCCTGGGCTTGAGTACTTCGGGAGGAGGAGAGGGGGAAGAGAGGGGAACTTTGACCTGAAACCAAAAACGGCTGTTGATTTCCTTGGGCTGTCGGAAAGGTGATATTCTGAATGGTCTCATAGCATAAGGCACTTTGCACGAATAAGTAACAAGCTCTTTAGCTTAAAAACAGATGAGTAACCAGGGAGAAGTTGAAATGCACTCAGTCGATGGTTGAAGAATTTGAAATCGCAGACAAGCTTGTGTTCATCAAGATTCTTCTCTTTTCAGGGTTTCTCTTCTTCCCTTGCTGCCCCTCCCACCCAAAGAAAACAAAATTTAAAACCAGCAGTTAGTGCAACTAATGTTCAATCAGCACACAGTGCAAACAAGTGGAAAAACAAAAAGACATTCCTCCTTTTATCTTCTTTCTTCCTTGCTGCCAAATTTAGAATGAAAAAAAGGCCGAGCTCTTTAAGTCTTCATAGTTCCGAAATGAAAAGACGAAGAAAAACCCACAAAGAGAAGGGTATCCCCAAAGAAACGATGTGTCACAGATCCGGATCAAAGGGCTTCACCTTCTGGCATGTGTACTCAAAGCCTAAAAAAAAAAAAAAAAACACAGACACACACACCCACAATACCCACAGTTAAAAGAATGCTATGCAAATCCAGAACCTAAGTAACGAATCACACCGACTGTGGTGCAAGCTGGTAGCAGCTCTGGAAAAGCAAAGGGCATTTGAAAGAGCTCAACCTCAACCACAGCATCACAGAGAGGGGTGGTGCTAATACCTTACAACACAGGCAGAGCACAATTACCTACTGGTTTCTTGTCCTTTAGAGAGCAGAAAGCAGTCCTCAGCCAAGATAACAGCATTCCTCTTAAGGAAGCCACCCAAGAGCCTTTCCCAAGTTCATCGCCTGTTTTGGTTTTTAGTTTATTTATAAAACGGAGTAAGTTCAGCCAGAAATGCAGAGGCTGTAGGTCACCTTGGCATGACTGGCTAGGCCTATCCTTGAACAATTTCAAAGATGGGACACTGCTTCTACAACCACTTCTTTTTTGTCATCCAAGAAGATGACAACCGAGGCTGTGGATGTTGTTTACCTGGACTTCAGGAAAGCTTTTAACACTTTAACACAACAGTATTATCCTGTAGAAACTGACTTCTCAAAGCTTGGATGGCTGTACACTTTGCTGGATAAAAAACTGTCTGGACGAGTGAGCCCCAAGTAGTGGGGAACGGAGTTAAATCCAGCTGGTGTTCCCCAGGGCTCAGGCCTGTTCTCTTAACTGTCTTTATCAATTGATCTGGACAACAGGATCGAGGGCATCCTCTCTAAGTTTGCAGATGACACCAAGTTAGGTGGGGATGTTGACCTGCCTGAAGGTAGGGAAGCTCTACAGAGGGACCTGCACAGGCTGGATCCATTGGCCAAGGTGATGAGTTCAACACCACCAAGTGACAGTTCCTGCACTTGGGTCACAACAACCCCACGCTACGCTCCAGGCAAGGGGAAGAGTGGCTGGAAGCTGTCCAGTGGGAAAGGACCTGTGGAGGTTGGTCAACAGCTGGCTGGAGATGAGCCAACAGTGTGCCAGGTGACCAAGAGGGCCATCAGCATGCTGGCTTGAATCAGCCTGGTCTGTCCCGCAGGGATAGG